AATAACAGCAAATGGAAAGCTATTTACTGTGTATGCAGATAGCTACACCCATGCAGTATGAGAGCAGTATATTCATATACATATATTTTTTATATATATATATACAGTCATGAAAAACTTGGTGCTCTTAGAAAAGTAGTGAGACAGGGAGGGGCTGCAGTATGTATCTCTATAAAGAAAAGAGAAGTAACATTGTAAGGCATAAAAATGTTACAGGACTGTTCTATGCAATCTAACAAAGATGGTAGTTAACATTACATATTTAGATACTTCTATTTAATATGTATGGAGCATATACAAAACTAACATTCTGCTTTCACAGATAACACTTAAACTTCAGGTTCTTCTTATTTGTCTCTTAAGGATCAATGGAGTCTGTTCATACTACGGAACCTCAAAAAGTGAGTTTGAGTGCCAGTGCTACAAAACTTGGGGAGCCTATACAGCAAGCTATTCCTTTGCTACCACCATTTCAGCCTTCGGAAGCCAGACCTCATTATTCTGTATGGAGAGATTATCAGAGCTCAGCCAGCCAGTCAGCAGCTTTGGCTAACAGTCAAGGAGTGAAAATTCCCACTGTAAGTAAAAAAACTATCTTTGACTCTTTTTTTTTTTTAAGTAACCAATACTGCTTTCATTTTAAAAACTTTCTAGTATACTTGCAGAATGGGAGTTGTTGGTCTCTGAAGAATACTTCTGAATGTGTCAGATTTTATCTTCAGTTCAAAGAATTTTGGGTTGTGGATTCATTCTTCACTGAGTGTCCAAAGAGGAAGTTAATTTGAGAGGTGTGCTTATGTTATACACATATGCATCTCCATAATCAATGTAACTGCACAGTTTAAAATATAATAAACAAAATAATTCTAGTGTATTTTTATTTATCTATAAAATCAGCATTGACTTCCATATGCAGATAAACCTAATGTATGACCTTCCTGTCAACACTCTCCTGTGAATTTGTAGAAAACATGTTGCTTTTTATTTCAGCTTGAGAAGTCACTTAGACAAAAATCTGAAGATGTTTCTGGTAGTCTTCCTCTATCAAGGAAAATCCCTGGTGAGAGAGAATTTTGCTTCCTATAGGGTAACTCGTGTCAAATGTTGCATTTATTTTTATTGGCACTACAAGAAACATGGTTTTGAAACTACTATTGCATTTTTAAAATTCAGCCACAAGTTCATATTTCTATCTCTGTTTTACAGAGAAACAAAAATAGGTTACTTTTAAGCTGTTCACTGAGCTGGAGAAAAATAATCTGTGTCCCCAGTTCAACTCCTTTCTTAGTTAATTCAGTTAAGATGTACCTATACTACAGAAATCTCTTCTAGCAGATAAATCCCATGGCTAATCTTATTCTGAGCAGAGAAACATGGACCAAACAAGCCAGTTTCAACTCTAGGAAAAAGCCATTAACTGCTATTGTAGAAAAGGCTTAGAAGCTAGTTTTCAGTACTTATTTTCTCTGTTGCCTGGGAAACGCTGCTTACCTTTCTAGTTTCCATAGCATTCCCATGACACTGAACATTCAAAACTTGAGAAATTACCAAAATGAATGTCACAATTGTTTAACCACAGTTGCTTTGTCGTTCTGTTCTCTTTGAATAATTTGGTTCCAAAGGCCATGGATCACATCTTTTTTTACTTGTTCCCCACATCACAGTGCAGTCTATACCATCCATTGACACTTATCTGTCATCTGCTTCTGCAGTGGGAGACGTGGTATCAAACGATGCTGAGGACAATGTGGCAAAGGTAGATGTTGCATCTTTACCTTATTTGTGAAAGTTCAGTCGATATTTTTGGATTTCCGCTTAATTCTCCTGATACCTTGTGGCACTTCTGGGCTATTTTCAAACCTGTATAGTCTTCAATATACAATCAGTGATGCAATGTTGTTAGACTATGACTATGTACAGTTTATAAGTCCTGTCAGTTCTTTCTGGACGTGTTTGCTCAAGAAGTGTAAGTGCCAGTACCTATAGAGTTCTAATTTGTCACAACCAACCAGTTACTAGTTATCTTGGTTTTAATCAAAGATATATAAAATACAAGAGTACAGTCATGTCCTTTCTCTGAAGTGTATCAGTATTCTAAATTAGTAAGAATTTTGGTTTTCTGGGGTTGTTCAGACTCCAATAAAATTCAGATTTTGCTCCCTTCCTAAAGATCACTGAACTGCCTGGCTATATTCTTTCATTTTATTTCCTTGCATTGTCCTTTGCTTTTCAAAAGCTGCATAATGCAAAACCCACAAATTGATCAGCAGATGCCATTCTGTGCTCATAGAAACATGTCTGTATAGGAAGTTCCCTACTCTGGAAAACACTTTTTTTGCCTTCTGCAACCACAAGAGGTACTCACAGACTTCATTTGTTCCAATAGTTTCAACAGCCTTTACTTCTACATTGTCTGCTTAAAACATTGTCTCTGTTTAAAACTCATTTTCCATTGGTGTATTTGCAAGTATATGCGTGCCAACCCCAAATTATTCCAGTTCAAACAGATAAGTTGCCAGGCAATACTAAAGTAGTGTAACTAAATTGCATAAGGATATAAGTGTTTTCTTTTAGTTTGCTGTGAATTGCAGCTTAGTCAATGCTCAGTGAGGTTCAGCTTCCTCGCATTACTTGGCATTAGTCCCAGGCTAATGAGGTAGTATGTAGGGATAGTCATATAACTTAACCTAGATCTTGTTCTTCTGATTCCGTGGTTTAGCTGAACCAGGGAATCCAAGGATCTGGATATATAACTACTTTTACATACATACATACATATATATACACACATATAAAAAATCATAGGGTTTGAGATGGTTCTCCTATAAAAGCTGTTGCAGGATCTCTCTACTTACATGATTCATGGTATTTCTGAGCTTTACTGTGAAGATCTTAATAAAATCTTAATTTACTTTTACTCATTTTCCTAGGTTCCCTGGCAGACTTCGTCTGCTTCCTCTTTACATCAAAAACTCTCACTATGTGCTGAACAAATAACACAAACTCCAAGACCTGAATCTAGGTATCTGTCTCGAAAGAAAAGGCAAGTTCAGTTTTTTGGTACTGAGCCAAGCTAGCACTTTCGTATACATGGCCACCCAGGCCCCCGCCCTGCCCCTTTAAAATAAGATCTTTCTCCTTGGCTGCATGACAGTGAAAGATTAATTTTAACAGAAAGATTTCCTGTTACTCCTGACATATATGCATTTTCTTAAATATAGTTATAGGCATTTATACGTTCAGCTTCTACTTAATCCTATAAAAATGTGCTCATGCAAAAAATGAACTGGAAATGTACAAGGTAATGCTTATCTTCAAGTTTTTAGAATAGAAATGAAATCTGGCTGTTTTCTGTTTTAGCAGATACAAAAATTCTACCACAGATTCACTTGAAGAGTCTCTTTCCCACAGAACAAAGGAAAAGCTATCCGAGCAAGAGCTTCATAAAGTGTCAGAAAAACTCTCTCGCAGGTTAAATGAACTAGATTTAGTAAGTGAAATCTATTCTTTGTTGTATCTGAGCAAGCTAGCCTTACTAATGATAGTGAAGAGAACCAGAATATAAATTTAATATTGATGAAAAGGAAACCTGCAACTAACACCTGACTTTAGACAGTTCTAAATTTTGAATGAACTATTGAACCTGACCGCCCAAAAAATCTGTCCAATAGATGTTAAAGAGAGCTTTGGGTGGGCACACCAGAGAAGAAGAGTTGACAGATGAGGATAACCTGTCTCAGCACAGTGACAGTGTCATGGATTACCGCCGAAGGAAAGCTGAACGAGGTAACAATTCTTATGCCACTTAAGTATTAGGATGGGAAGGAATATTAAAAAAAAAAAATCCTTCTCATGTAAAGCTGATACCTGAACTACTCATAGTTAGTTACTAAGTTTTGTATTGTTAGTTCACTTGTATTTTGTCTTTGATCCAAACCTGAGCAACAGTAACACTTACAATTAAGTTCCCATTTAACACTTAAATAGCTATGGTAAAACTTCACTAAAAATACAGGGCAAACACAGCTGCAGTAAAAAACATACAGAAAGTGGGGGGAGGGACAGAATAAAAGCTCATCGATAGGACCATGATTCTAAAATGAGGGCCTATTCACAATACACTTCACTGCAGATTCTTCTGTGCTGAACACAGCATGTACATCTTATATGTACACCAGGCTATAAAACTATCATATAGTCTAATATCTAATCCACATGCATAACATTATATTGCAAGATGGAGCTGTTTGTGATGCTGGCATACAGACAGTCTCCCACCATGAACTACCTTCAGTTGTCTTTGCTGCTTTTTCCTTTCCTGTCTTGAATATCTCCTCCTCACAAAATTTGTGATTTGGGGCAGTGATAATTCTAAAGGCAAAGGCTTTAGCTTTTTATGACTTAATTTGGGCTAAACTTTTTGACTCTTATGCTGTATGGGTTTTTGGGTTTTTTTTTTTTCCTTATGTTTATCTGGAAGGTCTCTTTTTGTTTGTTTCAAGTTAGATACTCAATGAATCACCTTTCCTTACAGACACACCACATCTAAGGTACCCAAGCAGGCCACGATCCCTTTCTCCATCCTCACCCTCATCTCAGCATCAACTCTTCTCTGAGTTGGAAGATAAACTTTGCAGTAATGGAACAGGCCAAATAAGGAAAATACACAGCCAGTTGCAAAAAGAAAGGGATGAAAGAACAAAAAAAGCAAAGGTAATTTCTAGGTTAGACCTATTGGTCATTCTTACCAACAGTTATACTAAAAGCATTAAAACAGAATGCTCTTACTTAATGGGGGCATCTGGCCTACTTCAGTAATTTTATACTGTTTTATCTGTAGACTGTTGAGGAAAAGACCTAAACCCCAAATTTTGCAAAAAAGAGAGTTTAAAGTGGAAGAAGCTACTTTGACCCATACACCGAACAAGTTAATGAGGTGGTCATATGGACTGATTATTTTCTCAGAAAGGTCCTCTTATTTTTATTTTCTAGATGGTTGCTAAAGCTTATGAAGATGAACTAAGAATTTATGAAGCTAGGGAGAGGCTTAGACTTTCCAAGCTCAGAGAAGTCATCAAGGAAATGGTATGTATGCACTATGGTGATTGTTGGTTGTGTTTTGGTTTTTGTTTTAAATTTGTCTAGATGATCTGTCCAGACACTGGATATGTCTTTTAGGTACAAAACCTCCTTGACTTCCAGTGTCATAGTTACAGCACTGTATACTACTAAAGTAGTAAACAGAAGGACAGCTTTTCCTGAGATAGGTAGAACCAAGGGACAAGTAGTTTTAGAAGTTTCAGTGCTTCTATGTGTTAAGAATATACCTGTTCTTATGGGTAACTTAACCCTCATGCTTTTCACATGAAGTGGTAACTTCAAGGCACTCAGATGTAAAGAATGAAAGCTAAGTGAGCAAGTAGATAGCTTCCACAGACTGGCCTAAACTTCTCCACAGATGGGCACTTCTTCACACACACACACATTCCTAACAGCTAGGTTAATAAGGCTGGAGCCCCTGTACACTGTAGGCAATCTGCTTAATATTGTCATAATCAATTTTTTAACTACTCTAAAAGTTGGGTTTGTGCAAGGATGATTCTCTAATGTTATGAATATGGCAAAGGGGTTTTTGCTACTTTTTTACATACTACTGCAACAGCAAAGAACCTGAGCTGTCATACCAATGTCCTAACAATGTAGGCTGCACTGGCCCTTTTCACCACCTTTGCAGAAGCAGTCCATAGGCTGCTGCAGTAGTGTTCAGTGCTGCAAAAGAGCTGAGGTTATGCAACAGTGAGATTTAACCTTTGTTTGAACCCTGACCTGCATTTGGTAAATTGTGGCCTTCTGGAGAATCCAATTCAATATGTCCAAATTCTCATTCTAAAGTTTCAAAGACATTTAAGTTCTGATATCCAAACTATGTGATCTATCAGTCTTTCCCTTCTCATACCTGTTCTCCATCTGTTTTACATCTGCTCCTAAGGAACAAGAATACAAAGAAAACATCTTTAAAGAACCTCCAAAAATGCCTCAGCCAGTGAAAGTTTATTCTAGAAAAACCACACCTCGGAATCCCAAATACAGCCAGTGGATTCCAAAACGAGGGACTGTGAAGCCAAAGAAAGCAGCTCCAAGTAAGAACTGCAAAACTATACTTGGTGGAAAACTGGCATCTTTTGAAAGCATGTGTTGAACTCCAAGAATAAAGGCATCAGTCCAACATATACCAGTCAGCTGTAGCATATTCCCCTTCTTATGACCTCTTTATGTCTGGATTTTTGTTAGGGAAGATAATGCTTTAAGTAATTGTAAACCACCAATGCACAATCAAAACTGTGACCCATTTGCTACCTCCTTAAAATCCCTTGGATTATTTTCAAGGCTTGTTTCCATTACTGCTACTCCTATGCTTGCTCCACTATAGTCTGAGCTCAGTCTTTTTTTTTTTTTCCTCTTTTTTTTTTTTCCCTGAGCATGTATCAGATTTAAAATTGGGCCTTTAGCTTGAGTGGTCTGGTGCTGAGCCATGTACAGGTAGTAGAGCAGAATCTGTCAATTGCTATCATCTTCCTTTCAAGACCCTGCCACGGTGGCGTTAACATTGCCACTGGTTTTGCTGAGCAAGTGATGCTCCAAGAACAGGCTCAGTTTTGGTAAATGGCATTGTGCATGTTTATATATAAGATCATGGTATAATCCCTTACATATGTGAATGTTGCTCAGGTACACTGCCTTTCCCCCCCCTCCCCAGTGTTTAAAGGGCATATACTTGGTTAGTACCCATTTGTTTCATCTCCCCATCATCTTTTCCTGCCAGAAAGATCAAAGATGTAATGGGAATGAGCTGGTTGTGAACCAGTTTATTTTCCACCTGTTTATTTGACCTGGATCTGTCACTACTACTGCTGTATGAGCATTATTTTAAGTTGCTGTACCCAGTGAGAAAGAGACAGATAAAGGAAATCACTAATTAGTGATGGTCAGAACCATGTGAAGAAAGAAGGGGACACCTGTCTTAACTGGAAGCGGTGGTGGGAGGGAAGTAACACCTAAGCTATAAAAGCAATTCTTCAGCAGGGGGAAAAAAAAAAACCCAACAAAAACTTGAGATTGCTTTCTCCACTGCTGTACTGACAGAGTGATGTTATGTCCTGCTGGGTTTAGCTTGACATCATAACAGCAGCATGGTAGTTGCATATAGTGTTCAATCTAAAATATTTCATAACCTAGGCTGACACTGTCTGGAAGAATTTACCACTAAATGTATTCTCCAGGAATTTATTGCTTACATCTGTCTTTACCTTGTAGTGAAAGTAAGAGATGATGACCTCCTATTTCAGCTACTGGAAGAGTTTCCCCACCTGCATATTTCCCACCGTACTATGAATAAAATGTGGCAGCAGCAGCTTGCACATACTGAACAACTTAAGGCAGCTTCTGGCAGAACCAGACCAAAACTACAAAATGAAGTGAGCATTCTTACTCTTACCTTCTAAAGTATCAGCAGGGATAGTACCTCTGACAGCATAGTTAGCAGTCATCAGTTTGTACTGCATAATCAAATCATAACAAAATCATCCTGACTCTTTGTATGCAGCAACATAGATGTATACATGCACATCTAAAGCACAATATGAAAGGATGTATACCTGAGCTTGGTTAGTTAAATAGGGATGTACACATCTAGACACATGGGTTCAACTTTTTATCATATATATATATAATATGA